TGTGCGTTGTGTGTACGATTAACTGAAATATACAAACACAAATTTCTGTCAAAGTTCAACTACAAATCAATTAATAGATGACAAATGACTAAAATGACAAAAAAAAATATATACTGCTAATAATATGTAATGCTTTTACTACAGATGTCACAATAAAAGAATGTAGATAAAGACTTTATGGGAGATAACTCTTTGTGCTCAACATGGGGAAATAAATTGTGGCTTGTTTAAAGTCAGAAATGACGGCCCCACACCCTCACATTTTACCTGCACACATTACAATAACAACTGACGTAGAAAAGCATGAAATATAAAGAAATATCAAATACCGTGTTATAAGACAAATCTCTCCTGAACAATTTACATTGTGCTGACAAAATAAAATAACTGTCAATAGGCTGCAAAATGCTTTTACTAACAAGGAAAGCATGCCATGAAAATTTTAGCTTGTCACGTGATTAAGTCAACCTAATAAATAAGACTCGATAATGGCCAAAAAACGAAACAATACTGATGCTAAACTTCACTGATAAGATAACGTTAAAAAAATGGAATCACAAATGCACTATCGACGAAAAGAAGAAAATAATTATAATATGGCCATAACAATATATAAATATAACTCTACTAGCTTTGCTAATGAAAGCATTCGTATAATACTGTTGTTGATAGCGGATAGTCTTTCAACACTTACCAAAAACATAGCATTGTTAAAATGTGTACGCATAGAACTATAGTTTACGAGTTTACGTAAACCTTTTAACTAATTCTCATATTAACTTAAAACAATCAGACTGCCCCGTTAATTCAACCAATTTTGCAATTAAAGGAGATTAAGATTTATTTATATCAGTTCATCTATCAAAACTATTATACAATAACATAATACATATACATAAACAACATAATAATTAGCATGATATTAAAAAATGAGAAAAAAATAAAATAAACTGTTTAATATGAACACTTTTGTAATGTATGATTATTTAAGGAATGACCTGAACATTTTTTCAGTTTATCGATGTATAAACAGAAAAAACCTGTGTACACTGTATAAATCCGTGTAGCTGTTTATACATAAGTGTACACAGGTTTTTTCTGTTTATACATCGATTTATGGTTATACATCGATAAACTGAAAAAAGTCATTCCTTATAATTAAATCAACTCGAATACGTGTTTAAATATTTATCTAAGATAGCAACAAACTAGGGCACAAAATTGGCGCATTAAATACCTAAAATCTGTCTACTGCTTGAAAGTTGACGGAGCGGCCACATTTAAAGTTCAATTATTGAAAACCAAGGTTCGAAATAAGTTCAAAAATCATGATTTTGTTGATATTTAGAGTATGCACATTCGAGGGAATTTGAAAAATAACGTAATCATTCAGTGAAGTGTAGATTTCGGCTCTGGTGACGTTCGAAGGAAAGACATCGACGCTGTGTCTTGGCCACGTCAATCAAGCTCAAGTAAAGTCCGTTAAGGGGCGGAGCTTATATTTACATTCCGTTTACACAGATATAAACCGAATTCACGTGACCGCTGTTATCCAATCAAATTGCGTGATACCGTGTAAACGGAATCGTGATTTAATTATTGTGTATTGAGCAATATTTTAAAAGTGAAAATATTTACTTTATTATTGTCTTGCAAATAATTGTAGAGCGATATAGAAATATTAAAGCATAACCTAAAAAATCATGTAGTTACTCAGAGTATCACACTATGCGATAGCGTGAAACTTTGAGTAACTACATACTATATGTTTGTTTTCATGTTTCTATTGCTAAAAGTATACAGGTATTACTTTCTATAATTACATACTCAAAAGTAAAAACAAATTCGTTAGTATTACATAAAATACGATAGCCATCGTCTCTTCAACAAGCCCTAAACTATTACAAACTAACCGCAAACGTGAGTGACAAAAGCATAGACTTTCTCGATACCACAGTCTTTAAGGGAGATTCCATAGCAGAAACAAATAAACTGGATATTAAAGTGTATTTCAAAGAAACTGATACTCATCAACTCTTGCACAAGAGCTCCTTTCACCTAAAACATACCTTTTCTGGTATAATTAAGTCACAAGTTTTACGATTTCATCGTATTTGTACAAGATCTTCTGATTTCAACCAAGCCTGTACGATTGTTTTCTCAAACCTGAAAGAGCGTGGGTATTCTAAACGATTTTTACGAAACATAAAAAATTCCACCTTAGCACAGATAGCAGCTAAAAACAGACTTTATGCCGAAGTACCTCCAGGTTTAAGAAGTGCTCCATGTTTGTACAGTAGATGCAAAACATGACCCTTTAAATCAGAAACTCATTATTTTGTAAGCAACTCTACGAATAAAAGGTACCCGATCTCGGAACATCTAACATGTGAACATTCGAATGTAATATATTTAATTTTATGCAAGAAATGCCCCAAACAATATGTAGGAGAAACTAAGAATAATTTACGAACTCGCTTTAATGCTCATAGGTCAGACATCAAATTAAAGAAAGACAAGCCTGTTTCTAATCATTTCAACCTCGACGACCATTCAATAGACGATCTCACCCTAATCCCAATTGAGCGTATAGAAATTGACTTGCCCGAAGATGAAACTACCAAATTCCGTCCATCTAGGGAAGCCCATTGGATTGAGACATTGAATACAGCAAGACCTATAGGACTAAATATTCATCATAATGTAGGCATAGCACCCTTTGTTGTCCCGTTTAATACAACCAGCAATCGAGCAAGCAAGATAGTTCATGCCCACTATAAGAGCCTTCAAGAGAAATTCCCCCATGAAAATGATAGTTGCATATTCAAAAAATAAGAACTTAAATGATAATATTGTTCATAGTAAACTAAAAACAATCAGTACATAACAGATATTATACTTCTCGCCCATTGGGCGAGTTATATTTTCTAATTTCAGATCAGAATAAGAACAGAAGAAAACCCAATATCAAGACCCTTAATCCTAATTTCTAAATAAAGTGTCTGCTCCACCCTAGGCCTGTACATTTGGGAGAATCAAACCCTCCCTTCCCCGAAAACTAAATATATATTTTAGCCATGTGTATCCTTGTCCTGTCGCATCGCAACAAAAGTGATGAAATAACAAAAATTAAAAAGTTTATTATGGACTCAAAAGTTGCTGCCTGATATTGGTAATGATCTTGTACAGAAGAGTAATTGGCCTTTTGTTGTAAATGTTTGCTGCTTTTATATTTAATTTCTGTTAAAGACAGCAGAAAAATAAATATTTTGTTATACCATTTAAATGGACAAGTTCGTCATCCGTTTGACCAATTGTACTTTAGTCTTAGAAACGGGAATTTTTAAACGAGATAATCATTAATAGCGTTCACAGCTCAGCGTCAAAATTCTAGCCGTCAAATCCATGAGCCGAGAATTATCCGCGTTTGAATGTTAAAATGACGACTTGTCAAAACTGAAACTATGACATATTTCTACCATCAGCTATAAAATTACGAATATAAATTTTAATATTTCTATCAGTCAAACTTCAACCAACTATTTAGGTTCTTTAACTTTAAATTAATCTGGCATGTCCTTGGAGAGATACACCATCAAAATTGAAAATATTCTGTCAATAATATTATTGTAGTCTGAACAATAGACACGATATATTGTCTAACAATTTACAGCTAAGCCCTTACATGTTAGGTAAAATGCTGGAAATCAATGAAAAAGATTCATACAGGATAACGTAATCCTGCCAACTGGAGATTTTACTAATTAATAATAATAATAATAATAATATTAATAATAATAATAATAATATTAATAATAATAATAGCTTTATTTGGCAACCCATTTAGACAGAAGTCTAATTTTCAATAGGTCATAACATATAATGATTCATCCCATGAACATTAAAACATTAACTAATCAATAATTTACCTGTGCTTCTGGGAGTAACGCTATCATACCTGCAGAGAAAAGAAACATTTTTTTATCATTTGGCTTCCAGTATTCTAATATTTTTTAATATGGTAACCGTATAATCGTATTATCTGCATAATTTTTCTACTGTTCACAACTTTCGAAAAACACCTTGTTCATACGTTGTAAACTAAATAAAACACATCATGAAACACATGACTATCAAAATATCAATGATACAATTGGGATTGGGAGAAATTGTAAAACCCACATTTTTTTTTAGGATATCTGATTGACCAACCGCAACTGAAGATCACCATTATTTCATTAAGAGGGAAGGAAGAAATTATGGTTAACTTACGTTTGGTCCGGTTCCTTTCGTTTACCTAGAAATGATTCGAAATTTCAATTCAATATCAATAAAATTTTTTTAGGAATATAGTTACCACTAAAATACAAGACAACTTAGAAATCTCAAGAACAGGAGAGATAATTACAGTACCTTAAATCGAGTCCTGTCTATTTAACACCAAATCTATCATCACAAACATCACAACCATTACCACCATCTGTAAGTTAAATATATTTGAAAAATTATCTAATTTATCAATTGCATTAAAATAAATATTATTAAATAAAGGCCATATATCAGCTAATTTATTTTTCTGAATACAGGTATATCATTTAGAACGTTTTACCTCAAAATCTTATTGTCGAATCACCAGAGGCCGACTGGCATTCGCTCATCAGGATGGAATGAGAACAGCTATTGCATTAATAAGAGTTATATAAGACACGAAGCACATGTTACATGACTAGCAAGGATGACTGCAAACTTTATAATACTAATACTGACCAAGTGACCATGCATGCAATCAATTGTCTATATCAATATTCTATTTATAGCTACAGTCTTTATCAAACTAGTGTTCATATTCTCAACATCTCCATTTTAAAACTATGTATCACTAGTTTGATCTCAAATGCATACACTAATAACAATCTTTTCAATTAACACAATTAACACAATTATTCTGTTATTTAGTTAATAACTTTTAATACACAACATAAATTTCGATGTACTGCTATTTAATCACGATATCGCTCAGGTTTAACTATTGTGCGACCTGAGCGACGCAAGACAGGTTTTTCTACACGAACTGGAAGTTGCGGAATATCAGGAGGTGGATCTGGTGGATTCACATCCTGATGATTGTTAACACGAATATCTATATCAATCGGATCAAAATCTTCATCGAACGCATTAGCAGCAAATCGAACTTTATTAGTAAGAAATAAATGTCTACGATTTCTTCGAAATAATCCGTATTTTGTCCTAATCATATATGAACGCGGTTGAGCACATTTGCGTATTACGACTCCTGGAGTTCCACGTTTTTCCCAATCTAACTTCACTATAATATTGTCACCTGGGTTAAGTTCTTTCAAATCACGTGAGGAATTATGGTAATCAAAATTTCGCTTTTTCCTATCTTTATGATCTCGATCCCTTCCCCTCACATTTTTAAGATTCGGCCATCTTGGTTTTATATTTCTGGATAAAGTTGGTAAAGTTGTACGGAGTTGTCTTCCCATTAATAACTGAGCAGGACTTGCACCTGTAGTTTGCAAGGACGTTGATCTGTAAACCAATAAAGCTAATATTGGATCATCTTGGCTTAAAATCTTCTTTGCAGTCTGGACCGCTCTTTCTGCTTCACCATTAGCTGAGGCGAAGTAAGGACTGGTTGGTGACATGGTTTATACCATAATCATTACAAAATCTATTAAACTCAGCAGAACTGAACTGTGGCCCGTTGTTAGTGGTCAACAATTCTGGTATTCCAAATTTAGCAAAACAGTCTTTTAACTTATGAATTGTATTTGCACTTGTTATTGAACTCATATAAATTATTTCAATATATCTTGAGAAATAGTCAACTATCACCATATATTGTTTACTTTTAAAAGTTAGTAAATCTGCAACCAAATGTTGCCAAGGACGTTCAGGCATACTTGTTGGCAACAATGGTTCTTTTCGTTGAGTTGATATACTGTTCTGGCAAAATTCACAAGACTGTACTTTTTTTTCCATTTCTTTCAAAATTCCTGGCCACCAAATACTCATTTTGATTCTCCCTCTGCACTGAGTAATTCCTAAATGACCATCATGAATTCTATCAATCATTTCTTGACGCATCGACTTGGGCATGACTATTCTACTAAAATAAGTCAATAATCCATCTATTTGACACAATATTTCACGAACAGATAAATAATCAAGAATTTTCATATTAACATCTCGTTTAAAGTCTGGCCAACCATTTCGAACGTTTTGTTATTTACTTTGTAAAATTTCATCATTTAAAATTGCTTGAGGTATATTGTTTAATTGTTTATCAGACGCTGGCCATGAACTAATTATTGGTCTAATATAAACTCGAACATCTTCTTCCAACTCATTAAAACTATTATCTAACTGAGGACTTCTTGTGACAGCGTATCACTTACTATCATTGTTTTTCCTGGAGAATATTCAGCAATTGGATTATATCTCATTAAACGCATCAGCATTCTTTGACAGCGAACTTGGACTTGATCAATGTCTTTTCTATTTATTAATGGAATGAGGGGTTTATGATCAGTTACTAGTCTATATGAATTAAGACCCCATAAATATTTATCAAGTTTTTCACTAGCCACACCAATGACAAACACTCTTTCTCAATTTGGGCGTACCGAGTTCCAGCATCAGTTAAAGTTCTAGAACAGAATGCAACAGGTTTCCAGATATCATTATGTTGTTGCATAATCACACCACCTATACCATATTGACTGGCATCAGCACTGACCATTGTCGGTTTCTTGATATCAAATACAGCTATAACAGGATAAGAGGTTATCAGATTCTTGATCTTTGAAAATGCTTCGTCATGAGTTTTATCCCATGTCCAACAGATATCTTTTCTCATTTAAAGGTTGCATAGTATTTGACAAATTTGGAATATAACATCCTAAGGTTTATCATACCAATTATTCTACGTAATTCAGGTACATTATTAGGTTTCTGAAGATTATTTATTGCAGAAACTTTGTCTGGGTGTGGAATGATACCTTCTTGTGTAATTTTGTGTCCAAGAAAGTTTATCTCTGTTTGGCGAAATACACATTTATCTCTATTGAGTTTTAATCCACTTTGTTTAATTCTCTGTAAAGCAGCATCTAAATTCTTATCATGTTCTTCCATTGTAGCACCAACAATAAATATATCATCCATATAAACAACAACGCCATTTAAATCAACTAAAAGATTGTTCATAATTCTCATAAAGATTTCCGGAGCACTTGAAATTCCGAATGGAAGCCTTTTAAATCTATGGCGTCCACTAGGTGTTATAAATGTTGTCAACTTGCGACTTTCTTCATCCAAAGGTGCTTGATGAAATCCACCGGAAGCATCTAATCTTGAAATATAACGAGCACCACTAAGTTTATGTAAAATATCTTCAAACGTAGGTTAAACATATCTCTCACGTTTGGCAGCTTTATTTAATTGTCTGAGATCTACACATAGTCTTACTTGACCCGACGGTTTTAAAACAGATGTTATTGGAGCACACCAATCTGACGGTTCTGTAACAGGTTCAATAATATCACTATCTACTAATCTCGTGATTTCAGCTTTAGTTTTCTCCTGTAACGGTATAGCAATACGTCTTGCTGTATAAGCTGCATAAGGTGCAGCATCATCTTTTAAAGTTATATGAACTGGCTCACATTTAAGTAATCCAACAGGTCCAAAAACATCATCATTAACAGTTTCAATTCTCTTAATTAATCCCATTTGTACAGCTACAGTTTGTCCTTTAATAACATAAACTGGAAAAGTAAATCTTTCATTTTTATAATTAGTTTCCACTATAAAATATCCTAAGCAAAATATTTCTAAGAACTATGTCACTTTGTTTAAGTTTAGGTTTAGGATTCAACTGAGTGTAAGATTTTTCACTCATCACTGAGGTATCAGCATCTAAATCAATTTTAAAATTAACAGTTCTCCCCAATATTGGTAACTCTACATGCCATGCAGGAACACTACCATCTAAACAATTATTTATCTCATATAAAGTTCCAAGAAAGATATTTTCTTTCACATCACACTTTTGCACAATTTGGCTCTCCATAAAATTATTTCCATCTGTCACTGTATTATTGTTTTGATTACTACTGTCACTTGCAACATTGTTATAATTACCTTTTATATTATGGTCTGATATTGCACAGTTTACTTCTCTGATGAACTTTGACCTACATCTTACAGCAAATTGTCCTATTTTGCGATACCTTCTCAAACTGCACCAACAACTGGAAAGTTGCCAGTTGAACCATGATTTTTGTTACATGCTGAACATTGTTTATGAATAAATGTCCTTTGATGTTGATATTGCCCATGATTATTACTCAACGATTGATGATATGAGTTGGATATTCCCTTGTTGAACACATGTCTAGGTTTATTTGATCGTGACTGTGAACCTTGTCTCCATGAGTTACTTGCCTTATATCTTCTGTATTTATTGGCGATTTATTCTGCGTTTTCACAAGTTCGGTGTTCTAGCAATTTCTATGGCTCTAGCTAATGTTAAATCATTTGGTTCCATTTGTAATTAAAGTGACACTGATTTATCTTTCAATCCGACTATAAGTCTATCTAAAATTCTTCTATCAATAGAATCTTCAAAATCACAATGTTCACTAGCTTCATATAATCTCCTGATATACGATTCCACTGTTTCATCTTCATTTTGATTCAAAGTATTAAATATTCCTCTTTCAAATATAATGTTTCTACTTGGAATGAAATAGTTTCCAATCTTCTTCGGCATCAAATGTAAAAGTTTTAAATATTTTCTCAGCAGTTTCACCCATACAAAATATCAGAGCGCTTACTTGAATATCTCCATCTTCTTTATGTAATTTACTTCAGATTCTAAATCGACTAAAAGTTTGTTTCCATACTGGCCATTCACCAGGTTTATCCAAATGGAATTTCTCCGGTTGCTTCAGCTTTGTCATCCTTTATATTTTATAAGCACTATGAACCAATCGAATGTTCTATCCACAATATAAAATCCTTTTTGAACTAATTTGATGTTCCAAAACGAAGATATGACCCAATCTAATAATGGTCAACTTCTAGCTCCAGCTTCTTCTCCTCTCTTTTATAAAATTAGAAAGTTCACTTCTAACCAGAGGCCGACTGGCTCATCAGGATGGAATGAAAACAGCTGTTGCATTAATAAGATTTATATAAGACATGAAGCACATGTTACATGACTAGCAAGGATGACTGCAAACTTTATAATACTAATACTGACCATGCATGCAACCTACAGTCTATATCAATATTCTATTTATAGCTATAGTCTTTATCAAACTAGTGTTCATATTCTCAACTCTTATTTAATTAAAATTCGTCTTTTCAATAGATCCAACAGTAAATTGATACCTATTATCTAGAACAAATCAGTTTTAACCAAAGAAGAGAAGGTAGACAACTTGTTATCTTGTAAAACTTTGTTGTTATTCTTACCTTGTCTCGGTGCTGTCTTAGGAAGTTCACTCTGAGATAATGTTCCAATTTTACTTTCACCATATTTATTACTAGCTATCACTCTGATATAATAACTAGTATCTGGTTCTAATCCTTCTATACAATAGTCAACTCGACCATTGTTGGTACTATCTGGTATTGCGGGCGAATTGATCCATGTTTTATCATCAGTAGAATGTTGAACTATATAACTTTTTGGTGCTCCACCATTAAATCCTGGTATCCATTCAATACAAATTGTATCTGATGTTTCATTCAATAACCTAACATCCTGTGGACTATCTGGGACAGCTTAAAAAAATATACAGTAAATAATGAGGTTCAAATTTTCTCATACTTTAAAGGGATACTACGTCTTAGGATGAACATGAAATTTAATTTTGCTCAAATTTGGCCAATAACAGTATATATCCATCAGTGGACTTACCTGGTGTCCTAACCATACATCAAAATACCTCTATAATCCGATATATCCACAAAATCAAGTACTTAATTATAAAACGCTTAATACATCCATTAAGCGATTTTCAAATCGTGAGTCTAGGAAATCCGGTGTAATCACAAGGGGAAGTAACTCTCAAGTGGGGTTTCCCGCGTCCTTGACCTCTACTCTTGAATTGGCCTCGACATTGTCAGACATATTTTGAAGACGGAATAATAATGCCTCGTAGGAGATTAAGCGACTCCGCGAAAAAGCAATTCATATAAATTAGAATGAATACTCCACCACCGACACAATTTTCAACGAATATTAATCATTGGCAAAGTTTGTTTGTATACACCGGATTGTCGCTTTTTCAAACTTGATAAAGTGTGGGATGCATACTTATTTAACCAATGGTCACTATTAAACACGAATATTAGCCACAGGACTAGGTTATTCAAGACGTAGTATCCTTTTAATTTACTTTTTTAAAGATGATTGAAAAAGAAGATTTTGTAAAGATCCATGAACAAATCTTCCAGAAACAGATTATTATATACGAATAAATCAAATGTTAAACATTATACACTAAACTTACTCTCAGATATAAGTTGAAACTGTAAACTATTACTCAGTTCATCATCATTGGTAATATTTAAATAATACTGTCTGTACATCTCATTTGATTTAATATTTGTTCTTAACACAGATCTATAACTATTTATAAATCTTTGATTGTTGATGACAAAATATGATTCTTGATTCCCAATCATTATATCACTACCATTATCTTTATAAAACCATTGAAAATTAGCACCAGGATAGGAAATAATTTCTGCTGTTAATTCAACTGTTTCTCCAATATCACCAGATACTTTGAGTCTGTGATCCTCTCTTGTATCCAACCGTGGTGAACCTATGTTAATATACAAAGAGTGACTATTACTTAAAATGGTGAACCTATATAAATATACAAACAGTAAATATTACTTACCATGGTGAACCTATATAAATATACAAAGAGTGACTATTACTTAAAATGGTGAACCTATATAAATATACAAACAGTAAAGATTACTTACAATAGTGATCCTATATAAATATACAAACAGTAAATATTACTTAACATGGTAAACCTATATAAATATACAAACAGTAAATATTACTAAACATAGTGAACCTATATAAATATACAAACAGTAAATATTACTTACCATGGTGAACCTATATAAATATACAAAGAGTGACTATTACTTAAAATAGTGATCCTATATAAATATACAAACAGTAAATATTACTTACCATGGTGAACCTATATAAATATACAAACAGTAAATATTACTTACCATTGTGAACCTATATAAATATACAAAGAGTGACTATTACTTAAAATGGTCAACCTATATAAATATACAAACAGTAAAGATTACTAAAAATAGTGATCCTATATAAATATACAAACAGTAAATATTACTAAACATGGTAAACCTATATAAATATACAAACAGTAAATATTACTAAACATAGTGAACATATATAACTAAATACTTACAGTGAACAAGCAGTTCCAATGATTTGTTTTTCTGATTTGCATAAACAGAATTTGTAGCTAAACAGGAATAATTTCCAGTATCTAAACAGGATGTTGATGATATAAAGTAGATATTTGAATTTGTTGTGGGTAATTCTACATCACCATCTTTAAACCATTTGATAGAAGCTGGTGGGTTACTATCAACAGTACATCTAATAAATACAGCATCATTCTCTTTTAGTTTAGTTTGGTTGGTGATGATTACTATATAATCAAAATCTAAAAAAAAAACAATGGTAAAAGTCATTTTTATCAAAAATAAAACTAATACGGGAATACGAAAACGAATCTTTTCGCTTTTAGAGTCAGGTATTTTGAATTCATCTTCAACCCAACAAAGACATAACCCTTTCCATATTATAGTAAATATGTGAAACATAAATAATTTTATTACACAACAGTACTGTTCCCAAATTCGTAACTAAAAACGATATGAACTCGTAGCACACAGAATAATTACAACGCAAAATAGGTCATGTATCCATTCGCCGTGTAAACAGACAACATGCCCTCCCTAGAAGTTGATGAATCAGTTCAAATGAAAGGTAAAGGACATGACATTTTTCCAAAAAACCTAACGGCAATATCTACGCGTATGTTTTTTAAAAATAAAAGAAATGAATGGATTTTTACGTCCTACTTTTCTGCACCTTGTGGGCTAATGAAGACGGGCAACGCCATGCAGGTTGCCATGAGGGAAATTTTGCCATTACAGCGGCATTAGCCTGCTCTTTTTCGATTTCCAACTGTCAAGGGACCTTTACGTTCGTCTCCTACATATAGTCCCGGGAAACCATGCACGTATGTTTTAAATGCGGGAGTCCGATAAAATTCACGAAATAATGGCAAATGCATGATATTTTTTTTTCCAAAATGGCAAATTTTTAAAATCGTTACCCCCATAAAATTCTTCACCCCTTTTTTCTCTCTCATTTACCCCAAGGAAGACCCTTCCCCTGGGTTCTCCTTCCCCAGTCGCACTATAATATTACTTTATTTTGTCGTCCGTCTCCTATATATAGTCCCGGGAAACCATGCACGTATGTTTTAAATGCTGGTCTAAAAATTTCAAAGCCTTTATTTCGAGTCAAAAATCACTTTAACAGCAATTTTGTTAGTAGGTTTTACTGAGATTATGCCAACATAACTTTGACCACGAGTTGCAATTTAGTAATCACATTTATGTGTTGCCCAGATCGTGTCGCCGGGACATTTTGTAGAAAGATGTAAAAAGGCTGACCTCAAACGAAGGCCATAGAATAAGGAAATTTAAGGTTGTTTGATAAATAGAATTTTTCACTCTTGCTGATGTCATAAAATTTATGAAATTTGTTGCCGTATTAAATATTTCCCTTGCCAAGGCTCAGATAATATTAAATTTAGCAACTCACTTCATAAATGTCATAAGCACTCGTTTAAATCCTATATTTACTACTAGGTAGCAGCTAAGCCATGTAAGGAAGACCGGAAATCAGTACAAGAAAAACAACCTCATTTTGTTACTTATGGACAAAATATATATTTTTAAATATATTTTGTCCATAGAAAAACAGTTGGTTTGATAAATAATTATGTAATTATGGGTAATATTAAATTTAGCAACTCATTTCATAAATTTCATATAACATAAGCACTCGTTTAAGATCCTCTATGTGCCGTCTCTCATAGAAAATTAATATAAATTCACTCACATTGAACA